GAAGTCAAAGCTTCAAGCATGTTTCACTTCCGTAGAACAAGAAGAAATAAAAACACTTTTTGTTTTTTCTGTTTATTGTTTTAAATATTAAGCTTCTCTGAAGCTTTTCTTCTGCTCCATGGGAATACAGGAAATATCTAATCTTGATGGGACAATGAGAGCAAAGGCTTAGAGCTTTTGTCATCTCAATAATTCCCTCACTTCACTCTGTCACTTAATGGCTTCCAAAAAATTAAATAAATAGCTAAGACTAGCAAGGGTGTGGACTAGAGACGAGTTGGTGCAGTGGTTAGAGTACAGTACTGCTGATTACTTCAGCTGGCTGCTAGCTGCAGTTCAGCAGTTCAAATCTCACTGGCTCAAGGTTGACTCAGTCTTCCATCCTTCTGAGGTGGGTAAAATGAGGACCCAGATTGTTGGGTGGCAATATGCTGACTCTATAAACTGCTTAGAGAGGGCTGTAAAAGCACTATGAAGCAGTATATAAGTCTAAGTGCTATTGCTAATATAGTGCCTTCCAGATGTGTTAGAGCACAATTCCCATCAATCCTAACTGAGGATGATGGGACGAGAGGTAACAGTCAAGGTGTCCTGAAGGTAGGGAAACAGGGATCTCTCCTATCTCCATGCTCCTAACTTGGTTGTCTAGAGAAGAGGGGAGGAAAACAATTTCTGTGTATTTTTTGTATAACTTGTTATGGTAAAAACAAAAGAAAGATAATGGAGAAGGAGAAATAGCTGCTCTCACCTAAGCCATTCACATTGGCATAGTACAACATACATTGCATGGGGCAAGTTGGCACCAAATAACAACCTATCAGTCCCTGGAATACATATCCTGACTGAAAGTCAACAGCTTTCACCCAAAATGTGCAATGTTTTTGGGCCAAGGGCTGTCTTCATGCTGACGGCTGCATTTCATGAAACACATGTAGCCCGGGGGGGGGGGATCTAATTTCATTTCATTCACATGTAATTAAAATCACATTTATTTAGTTAAATAGAGCTCACGTGATAACTCCCCTTCTGTCATATTAAAAAATCACAGCTAGATAATCATTATTGAAGATTGTCAGAGAATTTGCACGGAAGGATTTCAGATGAGGCATAGATCTATATGGTGGTCCAAATATATTTAGGTACACAAATAGGAATACTAGTAAGTATTACTAGTATTCCTATTTGTACTAGTAAGGAAAAAGAGAAAAACTCCCTTGCACAGAAAGGGAACATTTTGAACATTTCTTGGCTTCTAACCAAGATGGATTTGATTTAAATCAAGTTGGTTTAAATCATGATTTAAATCACGATTTAAATCACAAGTAAAAAGGCTTGATTTAAATCAACTCAATTTAAATCATAATTTTTAAAGAGCAATTTTTTTTAAAAAAATTGGATTTTATTTATTTATTTATTTTTAAATCATCCTGCTTCTAACCCAGCCTGGAGATTTGAACACTTTCTTTTCGTGTCTAAAAGTCTTATAGAAATTTTGCCTTGGAACTCCACATACAACCACTTAACAGGAGAAGAAAATGTGAGCTTGTCTATAGGGAAGCCTGGCACCTGATGGTAGCAAGTTGCTGCTTGCTGTGTTACTCATTTACAGTATAAGATTGGCATGGCATACATGGTATGTTTGAAGGGTGGTGACGTCATGCATTCCTTTTATGTATAGCAGACAATAAAACTGCCATCACTCATTGTGTAATGTTGCTACTACAAGAGTAAAGCAAAAAAAAAAAAGTCCCAACTACATTTCTTTAATACTTTTATTTTTCCCCCTCCCCTTCCCATGTTGATCAAAGAACACAATAAAGATTTACTTACCTACTATTGCTATGAATGAATGGCACATGAATGTAATTAATGATAGGATTCCTGGTCATTTTGAAACCAAGAGGCCTCAGTCTGCAAGTTGAACACCATACCGGTCAGGCTTAAAAGCAAACGATGATTGAAACTAGAAAATTCACTTATTTTCTCATCTTTCCACTATAAATTTCTTCAATCTATTCTCTTTTTTACTCCCTGCAAGCCACCTGAAGTTACATGCACATTTTATGTGCCTTTCTCCTCATACATTTTGTATGGGCCTTTTCATAACATGCCCAGTTGCATATTGGTGTGTACTTTTCTGTAATACCACTTTTCTGTATTACTGTCTTATATTGTATTTTGCACTCTTTAATATTAAGTGCCTAATGTTATGTGTCTGGAATGTTGCAATGCAGTTTGCAATTCATAAATGCATACTGATAGGCGCACATTACTGGCACTGATAGTGGCATGAAACTCTGTTCCATTTTATTTACAGGCATTGGAAGAATGAACAGGCAACCTTCATACTGAAACACAAATCAAACAAATCCCTCCCACCCCTCACAATGAAAAAAAAATGCAAGATCTGTCTAACTCAGAATGAAAGTGAGAAAAATATTGGGGGCCCATCCCTAAACCAACAATACCATTATCAGTTTTTTGAACTTCCAGTGCAGATGTTAAATCTGATAGGCATGTGTCTGCCCTGGACGTCCACCTTGCAGCAAAAATGACCCTGAAATCAGAATAGAATAGAATAGAATAGAATGAGTAGGGTAGAGTAGAGTAGAGTAGAGTAAAATAGAATAGAATAGAATAACAGAGTTGGAAGAGACCTTGGAGGTCTTCTAGTCCAACCCCCTGCTTAGGCAGGAAACCCTGTACCATTTCAGACAAAGCTATAACAATGAATGACATCTCTTGGCAAGTACTTCCTTATTCTTTTCTTTTTTTTATCCCATGTCATCTTTTATCACAGGGTTAGGCAATAACCAGAAGTTTGGAATTGCAACTAAACCTGAGATAACATGACCAATTGTCAAAGATTGTGACATTAAAAGCAACATCACTGGGGGAATGCCCCATTGCTTAGTCCACACTCCTACAAAGATTAGCCCTTTCCAAAGAGATAACCAAGCATTCTGAAGACATGACACTTTAAAAAAAACAATAAAAACACACGTACACAACTATTTCATGACTTTCCCGCTTTAATTTGAACTTATTTTCCTCATAAAAAATAATGTTTCAGGAAGATGAGATCCTAAAGAGGTGCTTTGCTTTCTGAAAAATGTCAGCTTGTTCTTCTAAGTTCCTTCAGGGGTGCCAAATGATTTTGGGTGCGGTAGAAGAGTTGTTGTAAAGGAACATTAAAAGAGTTATTCATCCTTGAATGGCAGACAAACCAAAAACATTGGCATCCAAGTGTTTTTGTAAGTCTCCAACAACAAGTTCCTTCTTGGAATTGTCTTGAATTCCAGATCCCTCTTGACTATTGCAGAAGAGTTTATGAAAAAAAAGTCACTCAGTGCATGTGATATATTGCCACACACTTGCCTCAGTAAAGTCACAAACAGTCCCTGCAGAGTGCCACCTGTCCCTTCTGGTAATCACGGCATGGGCAGAGGCGCTGGTACTTGGTATTGCATCCAGCACAGCTGAATAACAGATGATCCTTCTGAAGGTAGCATTCCCGGACATTTTCAGCCACAGCTGGATAAAGGTGATTCATCTCAGACTCTGTGCTATCACAAACAATGTTGAGCCTAGAAAGTGAAAGAAAGACTTGGTAAGAACTTTTTCATGGTATAGTTTAACATGGCTCTTGAGCAGTGGTGGGATTCAATATTTTTTTTACTACTGGTTCTGTGGGCATGGCTTGGTGGGCGTGGCTTGGTGGGCGTGGCTTGGTGGGCATGG